CAGCCTCCTGGGATAGGTGATGTGTATTCCAGGAGACAGAAAGTGGGACTGGCAGACCAGGAATCCACCATCCTTGTCACCAATCTAAACTGCAATGACGGAATAAGGACTTTGAAGAAGACCATCTAATGTTCTGTTTATGGATTGCATTTGAATTTCTTATTTTGGGTGGCCACCAACTCTTGAGTGGGCGCCCTGCCATTGCGTCAGAGCAGCTTACTGGTTTAGCTGTCAAGCCCAACCATCACCTACTGTTTTGACGGATTAAAGCTCCAAGTCCGGACCCCAATCTTCTTGTTCTAGGTTTTCACTGCTACCTGTGTTCTTGTTGGCGAAATCCCCACTTAGTTCCTTCATTTTGGATTTCCTCTTACTTCTGCTCTCTACTGGTAACAGGTCCAAGATTTAAAAAGACACCCATTCAGGCCAAGGTGACAGTGGGGTTGTAACGTGCGCCCATCCCCCACCCCCAGTAAGGTAAGTCATACTTACGTTACAGTACTCCCTTGCCATTCCTGTTTCCCTGGCAGCCAATTACAATATCTTGGAGAGTGCAGCGCTTATAAACAATTGGTGAACAAAAGAGAATAATGAGTCCTTAGTAAAACCAAATATTAGGTATAGACAATTTTAAAATTTAAACAACTTTAAAATTGAAGGATATGGGATAGTCCAGCAAATATATTGGTGAATAAAAGAAAATAAGGTGACTTGAATATCCGTGTGGTAGTGGTAATGCGCCTTATATATAATAAATCCTGATGTATGGTAATGGGTGGTCCTCCCTCTGTGAGGTCTGAGGTAAGTGTCCTCTTCCTTTAAGGGGTCTTTTCCATAGGTCATTGGTACCTTTTCTGTGCATAGCAGTTTGTTGATCCTGACTAAGGCGCTTATACTACCTTCTATACACAATTACAATATCTGTTTGTCCAGCAGGGGCAGACTGGCCATTCGAGCACTCGGGCACTGCCCAAGGGCCCGGGTCAGTAGGGGGCCCCATGAAATACCCCTGATGCCTTTTATAGGCTTTTTGGTGTGCTTTGAGTGTGGGCAAGGACACAGGAGCCCCATGATCACCCCCGGGGGCCCCATGATTTGTCAGTCCGCCTCTGGCGTCCAGGTATGGAGACCATGTGACCACCTCCCATGTGACTGTGCTCTCAATTCTAGCCAGTCAAACCATGACATCACGACTTCCCTTAGCATCCAACATCAGCTGACTCCTTGTATTGTAATGCTGACTGCAAGGGACTGCTAGTAAGGTGAGTATATGGGGGGGGGGGGGGTTGGGAGCGGGTGGTACGGGTGCTTTACAATCACACTCCGGGGCGGACTGACAACTCATGGGGCCCCCGGGCAATAGGAGATCATGGGGCCCCTGTGTCCTTGCCCAAACTCAAAAAAGCCTATGAAAAAGGTACCAAGGGCATCTCATGGGGCCCCCTACTGACCCTCGGGGGCCCGAATTTCCAAATGGTCAGTCCGCCCCTGATCACACTATCTCTTCTGTTTCAAATGCTGCGGGAAAATCTCCAAAAGAGTTTTCTTGATGTGGGATGGTTATCATAGTTGTGATTTCCAGGCACTTTCAGAAATGTGCTCTCCCTTCCTTTTGTGTCATTAGTTCAGCAAGTGAAGGAAATCTCAGCAGCAGAAATAGCAAAACCTGAGATATTTTCTAACTCTTCCCAACCTTTTCCAAAAGAATAACAAAAAAAAAATGTTTTGGCCGGTGTTCCATATTAAAAATGACTTGATTCATTAAACATCAATAATGTAAAATTAATGGGAAAAAGAGGAAGGGTATTTGCAAGTGATCAGAATGATACATTAAAGTGCTTTCGGAGAATGTGAGGGGCTTATGGGAGTCGATTTTTCTTTTAAGAACAATTTAGCGAAACATTTATTGTCTGTGAGTGCTGTGTGTTTATTCAGTTACTGGCCTGGTTTCCTTAACAGATGTTTATGGATAACTGTTGTACCGTCTACTATTTTAATTGGATGGAAAGCAGAAACATACCTATATAGGATGTAATCATTTCAGGCTAATATGTTTCATCGTTGTGCACATTCTCAAGGCAACAAAAAAAATGTGTAGATATGTTCTTGCTACAGTTATTATTATTATTGTCAATAATAATAATTTATATAGTGCAGCACATTTTAATATATTATTTTTTGTTGTTATTATTAAGGATTTATATAGTGCATCACATTCTTATAATTAATAATAATCATAATAATAATTATTATTATTATTATTACTGATTTTGTAGAGTGTAGCACATTTAAAAAAATAATATTATTATTATTAATGTTGTTGTTGTTAAGGATTTTTATACTGCAGCACATTATTATACATTAAAATGATTATTATTTATTGTTATTATTATTATTATTTATAATAATAATAATAATAATCCCCGCTTCAGTCCATCCTGAATACGGCTGCCAGACTCATTCACCTTTCCAACCGCTCTGTTTCCGCCACCCCCCCTCTGCCAATCCCTCCACTGGCTTCTGATTGCGCAACGGATCAAATTCAAAATCCTAACACTGACGTACAAAGCCGTCCACCATACTGCCCCGAACTACATCACTGACCTAATATCCAAGTACCGTCCAACACGCACACTCCGCTCCTCACAAAACCTCCTTCTCTCTAGTTCCCTGGTCTCCTCCTCCCATGCCCACCTCCAGGACTTCTCAGGGTGTCACCCATCCTCTGGAACTCCCTGCCCCAACCCATCAGATTATCACCTACTCTCCTCTCCTTTAGGCGCACCCTGAAAACCCACCTCTTCAGGGAAGCCTACCCCACCCCCCCCTGCTAACTTGCCAACCTCCTCCACTCTTCCTCCCACTCCATCCCCCACAGCTATCTCCTCCTGTACCACCATCCCCTCCCTCCTAGATTGTAAGCTTGAAAGAGCAGGGCCCTCGATCCCCTCATGTTTTGCATTGTATTGGTATTGTTCTGTCACATGTTCTGTCCCCCTTTGTAATGTACAGCGCTGAGCGAACTATCGGCGCTTTATAAATACTGTATAATAATAATAATAATAATGCAGTACATTATTATACATTATAATTATTAATATTTTTGCTATTATTATTATTACTATTATATATTTTTATTATTATTAATAATAATAATAATAATGAAATAGATTTTTTTTTTTATATTGCAGCACTTTATATATACATTATAATTATTATTATATATACAATTACTATAATGCCCATTATTATAGGTACAGGATTTTTTTAGTGCAGCGCATTACAGAAAACGGATTTGAGCTTAATGTGGACTCTTAATTAGAACAGTGATACTCGTCTGGTAATGGAGGACTTCTTTCTGCATTTCTGACTGTTGGACATCCCCCCTTTTTTGCAGCTATCATCTGGATTGAAGGAGGACTTTTTCAGCATCGCTTGATCACTTTATTTTTGTTCTGGACTTTATTGGGGTTTTTTTGCACAATCATTTTTTGGATTATTTATATTAACTTATTTATATGCACTGCACATTTTTACTGTACAAATTAGCACAACACTAGCATAACTTATATTCATACATACTAGGACAATTTAGACAGGATACAATTAACCTACAGCATGTCTTTGGGAGCGTGGGAGGAAACCAGAGTACCCGGAGGAAACCCACGCAGGCACAGGGAGAACATGCAAACTCCAGGCAGGTGGTGCCATGGCTGGGATTCGAACCAATGACACGAGTACTGCCAGGTGGAATTGCTAACCATTTAGCCACTTTGCTGCCCCAATTAGCACAATTATAATTATTAATATTTTTGCTATTATTATTACTACTACTATTATTAATTATTATTATTAATAATAATAACAATAATAATAATAAAATATATTTTATAGTGCAACACTTTATTATACATTATAATTATTATTATATATTATTACTATAATGCATTATTATATACAGGATTGTTTTTGGTGCAGCGCATTACAAACGGATTTGAGTTTAATGTGGATCTCATTAGAACAGTGACACTCGTCTAGTAAGCCTTACATGTTGTCTTTTGGTGGAGGACTCCTTTCTGCATTTCTGAGGACATCCCCCTTTTTTGCAGCTATCATCTGGATTGACACTTTTTATCACTTGATCACTTTATTTTTATTCTGGACTTTATTGGGGGGTTTTTGCACAATTATTTGTGGATTATTTATGTTTTTTTATATTAACTTATTTATATGCACTGCACATGTTTACTGTACAAATTAGCACAACACTTACTAGATGCATTTTGTTAACTATGTCAATATCTCATAGTGTGTTTGCAGTTTTTTCCCTATTCAATTAAATTGTGTTCCTGAAGTAATTTATGGTTCATCTAAGCGCAGTTTACATATTACCAGGGGCGGACTGACCATTTGGAAACTCGGGCACTGCCCGAGGGCCCAGGGTCAATAGGGGGCCCCATGAGATGTCCCTGGTACCTTTTTCATAGGCTTTTTTGAGTTTGGGCAAGGACACAGGGGCCCTATTATCCCCTATTGCCTCAGGGCCCCATGAGTTGTCAGTTCGCCCTGCATATTACATTCAATGCTGGTAGGTTAATTGACTCCTGACTAAATTACCCTAATATATGAATGAATGTGAGTTAGGGACCTTAGATTGTACACCCCTTGAGGGTTAGGGACTGATGTTGAATGTACAATATATATGTAAAGTGCTGCATAAATTGATGGCGCTACATAAGTACCTGTAATAAATAAAAAAACACAAAAGGACTTGTAGTGGAAAAAGCTAAAAGGGCGCAAGAGCATAGGGGAACAGCTCTTAAGGTAGTCTATGGGATTCTAAGAGTAAGACATAAGATTTCCAAGTATCAACCCTAGAGCCACTCTCAGTCTAAGATGTCTAACATTTTACCTCTGTTCCATAAATTGGCAACATGCAACCAGGAAAAGAAAAGGAAGATGAAAGTGAGAAGTTTGAACGAAGAAGATCCGGTTATATTTTTTAATTAATGCACATGCTTATGTATCTGCTAGAGATAAATGGCACACCAGGTATACAGTACAAGCTGGTATCCCTACCAGGGGCGGACTGACCATTTGGAAACTCGGGCACTGCCCGAGGGCCCGGGGTCAGTAGGGGGCCCCATGGTACCTTTTTCATAGGCTTTTTTGAGTTTGGGCAAGGATACAGGGGCCCCATGATCCCCTATTGCCCGGGGGCCCCATGAGTTGTCAGTCCTCCCCTGATCCCTACTGCAAGGCGGCAAACAAACATATAACCCCCTGCTCTGTATATTAATACTAGTCCCAAGGCCCATCCTTTTCAACAATGGACCGGTTTTTAAGATTAAGAGGTCCCCATTTTAGAGGCCCCCATCTCAAATCACCAACCCAATCAGAAAGGGCACTAAATTATTTTAAATATTTGGATATTTAGCCTTCTTAACTGATGAAGTCTAGGTTAGATATGAAAAGCAAATGTCATTGAGATTCACACCTTGACATGCTGGATGGCAATTTGTTGATATGGTTCCTCAGTTACGGAATAAAGTTTAAATCACAAGTTCACATTTGAGTAGACCCCCACCCCCATCGCTCCTTAAATTACTCTAAGTTTATCTTCCACCACACCAAGTTCTTACCTGTGTAGCACTACCTTCCTTGGGGGTTGCTAAGAGATTTGAGTCCCCCTATAGTCCTGCACAGCCAAGCAATCTGCATTCTCCACACAAGCTTTGCTCGAAGTCAGAAATCAGTTCGTTTTATATCAGAGCTTTTGTTGAGGGGATTTAGATGTGGGATAGAGTATGGGGGGTATAGGATGCCCAAGGGAAATGACAACTGAAGACAAACTTCCTACAAATATTCACAAGCTTCTGTTCTGCAACACAATCTCTGTTGGAGAGCTAGTCAGAGTCTCCACAATGTACCACCTCAGACCCTAGATGAAATTCTCCTCCCCACCCAGCAATCTGGAGGTTTTCCTGAGCCGGGGATCTGGTTTCTTTCCCTTTAAATGGGTGAACAGTCATTAGTAGGGGCTAGTCTAGTTTCCCATCAGAGTGATCCTTCCCCTCTCTGCCCAGGGGGTGTAGGTGTACTCACTCAGATCCTCTACTGTCCGCTTGTGGGTTGCCTGCTGCTACCAGGTCTGCTCTTTCCCTGCTGTACAGGTGGTCCTAGCTCAGGGGGCAGTGAGTTCCAAGTTTTCATCCTTCACAGCTCCAGGCTCGCAGGCAAGCCCTATCCCAGAAGACCTCCTGGTAGCTTCCTTCCTCACAGCCTCACATCTTCCTCTCAACTCTCCACACTCCCACTACTGAGTAGGCTCCAACACTTTTCGAGTCCCAGCCCCTTGCAAAGACTTCTGTTGGGGATTGGCTGAGGTCCCTCAAGAGTGCAGCCAGCCACTCCTCAGATCCACCCACTGCCTCCAAGGCCTTCCTCCAAAAGCTTCAGAGCAGGGGGAAATTCCAGAGGGGCTGGACTGCAGAGTTTCTCAGCCCTGACCACAATTTGACCCCTCTGGCTATTATACCTGAGCTGCTATTCAGCTCCTGTCTAACCATTAGGATCTAGCTCCCCCTAGCTAAACTAGGAGGGTGCAACACCTGCATCCTCCAATGGTGACATCCTCTCATGATGTATTTACATCTGGACCCAAAAACTTAGGTGATGCTGTCCCTGCATGTACAGTAAAGCTCCATAGCTTTGAACAGGGCATACCTGTACTGTTGGAGCAGCATCTCTTTAAATTTTATATCAAGTTAATATAGATCTCTGCTCCCATTTAGTTACTATGCAGATACTCCAATACAGACTTTCTCAAACTTTTTAATATTCCAACATTCAAATTTCAATATTTTCAATTCAAATTTGATTCGATTTGAATACTTTGAATCCATTGATAAAAATTAAAATCTGGTCGAAAACGAATAAACAAAACTAAACGAAACAAATTTTGTTATGAATGTGACAAAATGAAATTAGTAACTTAACGAACCGATGTGAATCAAAACTAAATAATTTTTTTTGTTCTGCTCATTTTTAAATACAAGGCATTTTTAATGGCAGTCCGTGCTCCTGTTGGAGTTAGGCCAGCCAATATATGGATCGAAATTCAGCCAGTTCAGCAGGGACTGGCCAAATTTTGATCCATGTATGTCCAACCTGGTTGTACACAATTCAATCTATCAATCGACTTGTGCACAACCAGCCTGCTGGAAAATGTTCTCTCGACCAGTGCCACCTGCTTTATGATAATGGGGCATGGTTCCTCCCAGTGGCGCCAACAATGGGACTCTTTTCCTCCCACTGGCACAATTCCTTTCAATTATGCCAACGCTCTCCACGGTCACCCCTGTTCTGAAAAAGGGGGGGGTTATTTACTCACTCATCCACAGGATGGTTGGACTTCCTCCCACCAACTTCCTTTTGGCTCAGCTCAGTCTCTGGACCAAGGTTCTTCGATAGGCCCCCAACTAAGCCTATCTGGGACCTCAATGCCTACATAAGGGCTCCTCTTTCTTTCTATGCACAGGGGTCTCCTCCAAGGTACCCTGCCCTCTGATGCCAGGCCTCAGACTACTTATGGGCTCTCCCTCCACCTTCTGGGTACACTTCCCCAGGGATTGGTTGAAGTCCCAAAAAAATTCAGGCTACCTGTCCTGCTCTCCCTCCCTCTATGTTTTCAGAACACTCTAGAAGACAGGGAGAAGTAGCTGAACAGCAGCCTGTGAAACACTTTGAAGCCAAAAGCCACTGGTCTCCAAACTGTGGTCTGGGGGTCAGACTTTATCTGGCCCTTGGGGCACCCTTCCATCCAATGACTCCAACAATGGGCCATAATTCCTTCCACTGACCCCATTGATGGGGCACTATTCCTACCAATGACACAAATGATGGGGCACAATTCCTCCTATGATGGGGCACAGTTCCTCCTACTGACACCAACAATGGGGACCTTTTCCTCCCACTGACCCCAATCATGGGGCACAATGCCTCTCAATGATGCCAATGATGGGGCACAATTCCTCCTATGATGGGGCACAGTTCCTCCCACTGACACCAACAATGGGGACCTTTTCCTCCCACTGACCCCAATGATGGGGCACAATTCCTCTCAATGATGCCAAAGATGAGACACAATTCCTCCCATTGACACCAGCGATGGGGCATTATTTCTCTTTTAATACCAAAGAAGAGCATTGTTTATTCCCACTGATGTCAGGACATTTTCTACTCCCACTTGCAACAGTCTAGCCACCCTAAGTTCTGGGGGACAAGAAACTTTCCCTTTGTTTTGAAAGTTTGGAGACCTCTGTCCTAAGCAATCAACCCCTGCTCCAATGTTTACAGAGAAGCTAAACTAAATGTATCTAGCAGCCTACTCTGAACCAGGAGGGTGTTACAAATATAATGTACCTTTCTATCCACTGACTAATGCTAGCAGCATAAGGATTAGAAATAGTTCATGTTGATGGAGAGAGTTTAGTTCCGCTTTAAAAAGAACAACTTTTTCTCTAAAGACAAATCTGTCATAAAGCTGTTCCAGGATCGCCATATGTGTGTCTTCTCTTTATACAGGAGACCACCTCTCTGCTGAACAGAAGCCCACGATGGCCGCATGATGAATAGGCTGATATATGTGTGTATTCCTGTATCCAAGGACACTTACTCCAGCCCTACCAATCAGTGCGAAACGCATTACGAGATTCCAAATCCTTCTTCCCATCCAGGTCTTATTACAAATTTATGTGTTTAACAGAAGAAGGAAGGAAAATATAATGGGCACAGTAAAACATTTACATTCCCGTCACAAACTGTGCAAACACATCTGTTCAAACGGCTCAGCGGCGTTATGGCACTGCAATTTCCACCGTTTGTTATTTTTCTGTTGGATTTCCAAGAACATTTGGAAGTTCTGGCAGGCTGAGACCGAATAAGGCATCCTTCCTGCAGAAGAATGGCTGGAGATGAATGTGATCCCACAACATATGTCCTGGACGGATGGAGCAGATTTACAGCCCATGGAGCCCGTCCTCGGATCCCACCCTGTAAGGTGCACAGGAACACACTCAAACCACTTGCCTACTGGCACGGAGATTTTATAGAAATAACATTGCAACTGTATGGTCCACCATATGACTTATGTGGTCTGAGGTTTTGGCAGTTCCTTGTTATAGCTTCCTTCGTGTTCCAAGCATAATTTCACCAAATGTAATCAAGAGAGGCCAAGGGACCATCCCTCCGCAGCATATGGAGATATTCTTCAACATGGACAAATGTTTGCTGTCATCATTGAAAGCTATACTTCAAATAAACCAGGGCTGTCAGATTTAATTTCCTGACACTATTTTTTTCTTCTTTAAAACTGTTTACTTTTAATTTCTAAATGCTGAAAAAAAGTCCCTTATAGAAAACTGCAGGTGGTGGATATTTTCTTTAAAGCTAAACTTACTTCATAGGTTCAAAAAATAAATACATAATGCAAAGAAAAATAAAAAACAGCATTAACTAAAGGAGCCAATCGCATTTCAGCTTACGTTTGCTTATAGCTGTCAGAACAATAACATGTAGCACTACCCTCTTAGGAGTCGCTGAGTTTTTGGGTCCCCCTATAGTCCTGCACAGCCAAGCAACATGTATTTTCTTCCACACTTGCACACTGGAGACTGTAAACAGTCATTGAGCTTGTTTTTGTAGTTTTATTAGGGGTATTGAATTTGGACAGTGTTGAGGGGTGTATGGGATGCCCAAGGAACTGTGAACATGAGGACAAGCTCCTTAACAACTATGTACAAGTCCATAGTCAAACAGTCTCTTCTTAGAAAGCTTTCCAGCCCTCCTGGTGTACAACCTCAGACCCCAGATGAATCCTCTGCTTCACAGCTGCCTGAGGGAATCCCTGGGCAAGGGGACCCAGAAGCTGCCATTTTATTAAAGTAGTCCCAGATGAGGAGCTAGTTGGGTTTTCCTCCTGACTGCCCTCTCCCTTATCTGGCCCAGGGGCTGTAGGATGACTTACTCAGTTCTCTTCTGTGATCCTGATG